TTATATACAATTTTTATCGTTATATATACAAAATTTACTTTTCAAATTGCTATAATTTATCTAATTAAATGTTAATTGACGCCAGAACCATCATTTATGAAAGCTGCACATATATCGGATGGGCGCCTTCTTAGCCTATGATATATACATATTCAGAAGTAATCGTAAAATTTCAACTGATCCCACATTACTAATCCTCATTTTTCCTTCAATCGACTACCAAATACTTTCATAGTTTATGTGTAATAAAAATTGATTACTAGTAATAATTTGAAATGGTTATTTTAAATAAACAAAACTAAAGATACTTTATAAGAAGAAATTTCTAAAATATGGCATTAAGGCATCATTAGAACATTTCAATGAGGATAATATTAGATATATTATTACAGATGACTTGATTTTACTGTGATATAATGAGTTCAAATAAAAAAAAATCTTAGCTGTATGTGAGAAAAATGTTTAAATTCAAAAATATTATGTCACCTTTGGTTGCAATACTTTTTCTTACTAAATATTTCATATCAGTGAAGGTAAAAATGTTAATTAATGAAGTATAAAAATTGGTAATTATTATCTGTAAATTTCTGATTCGTTTATTAATCCATCTTTGCCTATGAGTATTTAATCCTTCATAAAAATTAATCAATATTATTTAAATGAACTACTTAATGATGTCATTGACTGTGCAAGAATTTTTAAAAAATATCTATTTAATGTTCTGCTTTATCAGAACCTCTGTTGTATTGAAACAATATGTTTTGGCCGACAAAGTTTCATCAAATAGAGTGGACAATTTTTTTTTTTTAAATAAAAGGGTGAAGAACAATCTTGTATTATAAAAAAAAGAAGTAATATTCTAATTATATTTTTACCATACAAAATTTATATTACACATCACAATATTCACAAATTCACCCAAAGACAAAATCCAACTATTTACAGTAAAAGAAAAAAAATGAGATTCACGTTGACAAATGTTCCCAGTTTTATTAGACAAAAAGAGAAAAATAGCGCCAGGTAAAATGGACTGAAATCACTATTAAATTTTATTACAAGCAAACGACTATAGATATCTGTTCATCTTCATACATATCAACATTTCACACAGCAATAATATATTCTACTTTATCTACGTCAATAAATACAAATACATTTTTTTTTTGTTTTTATTAATATTTGCAAATATACATCAACTAGCAGCGATGATAAATTAAGAAATTTTACTAAATGTAATAGCCTGTTCTTTCGGCACAAGGATATGATACATTTAATTACAAAGAGAAAAATAATCACATTTTTTTCCTTTTGATATGTTAAAAAATAATAAATTATTTTGATTAGTAACACAAACAAAAACATATACATTTTTAAATATAATACATTTTAATGAAATAGAAGAAGGAAATAGTACAAAATTCATCTTTATATATATTGCAACAAAAAAAATAATCAAAATTTGTTCTTTGAAATGGTATCACATAAATTCAATATTTTGAATATGCAGCATTAAAAGCATCTGTAAATTAAAAAATGTTATTATAGTAATCCATAATTGGTATGTTCATACAAGTAAAATGGTTTTATACAGTCAACCAAGAAGAGTCACTGGAAATATGAATTTCTTAATCTAACAATTTTATAGACCATTATTTATTTTTTTAGAGAAACATTGAATAACACATATGCTATTTAACATGGATACTGAAATGAAGATTCTATCAAAATTTATAATATTTGGAAATAAACTCACTAAAATGAAATTTAAAAGTATGATTTGGTAAGTAATTATTTTATATACATATGTCAATCTAAGGAAAATGCATAAATCTACAAATAAGAACAAATATATTAATGATTAAGAAATCAAAACACTGCAACATAGTAATTTAATAGTTTAAGCAGGCATTCTGATATTAAATTGTATAATATATAAATCACAACATAAATTTTCAATGCAGTCATATATACATTTTCATATAGAGTAGTTTTAAAAATTGTGCTTGAACAAACATAACCATTATCACCAGGAAATAAATAAATTCATGGTGTTGAACAGTTTATACCATTAATAACATATGGCCCGAGGGTTTCGACAACAATCATGAAAATGCTCTTCAATCAGGTTATCCATAATATTTCACACTTTAAATTCAAAGTTCATAACAAGTGATGTAGGAGTAATCATAAATCTTAATAAAGTGACATTAAGAAAGAATCAATCAATTAAAGAAAATCAAAATTATTGTGTTACTATGACTTCTCCAGTATTAAAGTATAAACATTATGGAAGTGTAATGAGTAATTATGGAATTTTATTTAGGAATTAATTATCACTACCAAGAAAATCTCTTTGGATTAATAAATTAAACATACAATAAATTACAAATTATAATATTTTTCATGACATATGATATGATTGATGTTTCCAAGCTAGAATAAAGGAATAAATCAAGTAATACGGTAGGAAATCAGATAAGAAAAAATTTATGGTCAACTTTAGTTTATATTAATATTTATGATTACAACCAGGCTAGAATACTTTGAAACAATAAGCATGAATATTATTACAAACTGTGATAGAATCTCCATAGTAAAACTTGAAATAATTATTTGAAACATAGACAGACAGTACTAAAGAAGAGAAGAAATCCTGAGAATTAAAAAAAAATTATGAAATAAATTTGAACACAGTTGATAAATTTATCAATTGATACTTTAAATTAAAACATAAATACTTTACACTACGACACAATTGTATATAATATATAAATGTATATAGCAAGATACAGCCACAGTACAAGCTAAATTAAAAGTATTTAAACAAAATGGTATCCATGATCAGTATAAAAATTCCACTTACTGCTAAATATATCCTAGTCTCAACTAACCACAAAAAAAAAAGAAAAAAAAAAAGAAGAATAAAAGAATAAACATAAATTTTCTTTGAAAAGAAAAAGTGCAAAAAGAGAAATAATCCTTATTTAATAAATACAACCTGATTAAGTGGGAAAAAAATTATATAAAACATAGATCCATGTAAGTATAGACACAAGACACTTAAAAGTATTTAGGCTACAAAAAATATATATATATTTCAATATTTGCTTATATAAATTACACTATATGCCCAAATGGAGCTGTATAAAAAATTACAAAATCAAAATAGCTCACTTCCTTGCCTCCCAACTTAAATAAGTATCAAAAGTGACTTGGCCAAATCTCAGTCAAGTTCTTATCACACGAAAACCTTTGGCTTGAGTCACACTTTTCCTCTTATTGTTATAATTACCTTCGACGATTCATCCTTTAATTATTAGTAGTACTTTTAAAATCCTGCAAAACCCGGCTTGACCAAATCAAACATTCCTCCGGACACAAACAATAAGGAAAGCTGTGCTTGAAAGTTTTGACATAAGGGCGTGAAGCGTTTTCAAATAAACTTCACAAAAGACTAGATATTCCCTCTTTCAAGATAAAATAATTAGTATTTCGTACTTTTAATAATATTATAATGATAATTGTTAGCTGAATAATATACATAAATTGACCTGTAAACTTTTTTATAAAATCACAGCTAAGCAAATCAAAATTAGAATGCTGTTATCTCTTTATTTTTTTAAATTTAAATATGAAACGAAACCCCTGCTATAACATTAAATATTGTCATTTTTTTTTAATATATATAAGTATGTGTAATAATTAAGTGGATATAACAGCCAAACATCTATAAATACATTTCATAACACCTATAATTATAGTTACAGTTGAAGTTGAAATTAATGAAGGCGACAAAATTAATTTTTAAGGCTGCCGGTTAATTATACAGCAGTTTTAGATATTTCTACAAAACTATATAAATACATATAGATAAAATAGTTTTCTGACTGGTTGTGTTAAGGTTGCAAATCTTTTAACTTAAAAGCTAAAAAAATCAAAAATGTTGAAATACGTATAGTGAATTTATTCAAATGAATTAGCTTCATTATCTAATTGATAGATAGTTGTTACCTAGAAAGAGATATTGAATAATTAACACTTTAGAGCTAGTTTGATTTTTTGTATAGCTTAATATACAATAGCATTGTTTAGAATAAATATTACCTTAGGATAACAAATATATCCTGTAATAAAATTAGAAAGGAACTTCATTATCCTTAGTTAAACAAAACGAAATTAAAACTAACTTTTTCCTAAAACATAGTTAGTTCTTCCTAATTTGACTAAATTTTTAATTTAAGGCATATATTTTATTTAATGTTTAAGACAGTAGAGAAATAAATTAATATTAATTCCTATAATTTTTACAGGGAGTAATTTGGAGTAATTAATGTCTTCAATTTGTGATTATCATTACTATATAAAACAATTAGAATTACTTAAATTAATTCTTAATTGAAACATATAAAGAAAAAAATATAATATCTTTAAAATTTTGGCACAAGAAAAACTTAGAGATGGGAAGCATTTATCGATGTTTAGATTAATCCTGATCAGTAAGAAATTAGATAATAATAGAAATAATTAATAACATCATAACCATAACTCATAATATTAAAGATTGAGCAGTTTTTCTTTTTTATAAATTGATTAATATCAACCTTTGCAGTCCAAAGTTTTAATAATTAACCTTCTAGAAAGGTTAAAATATTCAGGAAAAAAAAATTAAAAGCTTGGTAAATTATAGTGCTTATTCTATAGTAGATGCAAACATTATTTGTCAATATGATTTATGATTACTATACATCCCTAACACAACCATAGTTCAAAATTACTACTATACGTAACAGCAAACTTGGAACAGACTTCTTTTTCAAATGAGCGATCATAGCTTAGAAAACCTGAGTTAATTTTATACATTAATAAAATATCGGTACCCCTTCACACTAGAGGCAATTCATACTGAAACGTAAAATAACTAGCAAATCAGTTAGATGATACAATATACAGTTTTCCAGATAATAAAGGAATAGTGGTGAAGCCTGGTAACATTGACTGATTCAGTTATTGTTGGCTCTGGGTAGCGGTCGCACCAAGTATAGCTTTTCGCCCTGTTTGTTCGTATAGATGGGCGCCCTCTGATAATGGTCAACTAGCTGATCTAGAGTATGGAACTTCCTCTGTCCAATGCAGTAGAGTGCACCGTCCACGTGCACCCTAAAATGCTTATTGCGACCTGGTGCTTTCAGCGATACTGAGTAGTCACCCATCTGGAAAATTAAGTGGTAGTATAAAAATAAATAGTTAGATAATAAGTAAAATGAAGGTTACAACAGTGGTTCTCAAGTCGCAAAAAATCAAGTGAACAGACAAAAATTTATAGAACCGTAATGTTTTATACAAGTCAATGAGCTTATAAATAAGATAGTTTAATGAAACTCATCTTTATTTCAGTTGTAATATTTTCTTTGAATAATAATTTCATCAATAAAATTAGATATAAAATACCAGAAAATGCTTTTGTGAGCCACCAGAAACAGCTTAAAATTGATCACATTTACTTGAATTTTTGTTTCTTTTTTATAGCAAATTTACCCAATATATCTACATAGAAACCTATAGAAGACAAGAACACTGTACATTAGAGTGAAACAAAAAACCTTTTTTTTCAGCGAACATTCTAAAGCATTCAAAAGTTTCCTTCTTATGTCAACACAAAAACACTATAAAATTTTTTTGTTCTATATTTATCTCTTGAGGTTCCATAAGAGGCTTAAAAGTATATCAATTGTACTAAAACTTGAAATTTCTCTCTACTTTAAGTTTACAGTGGCTACCAAATTGTCAGAGTAAAATTTCCTGACTATTCCCTGTTTAATGAAAGTTTTCCCTGACCAATATATGTCAAAGGACACAAATGTTAAAAGTATATAGTTTATAACTAATTAATTTATAACTACAACTATATATAATTTATAACTGTTTAATTTATCATACATGATTGAAAATTGAAAGATTAGAGTAAGAAAAAGTCTGTTCATTCTTTTAAAAAACAAATATAATGTTGAAGGGGAAGCATTTTTTAAACATGATTAGGATTTTTTTTAATTTTTGTTTTACAAAACTGGCCTTACGTAATTTATTTTTATCGCCTATTTACTAATACTTTAAGCACTTTATTTTCATAAAGTAAGAGAATGTAAAAGTTGATACTTGAAGCTTTTATCTACTATGAAATAACCTGAGCTACGGGCTATTCTTAATTTAATGTAAGGCAATTTAGTTTTTTTATTGCTGATAACTGAACAATAATTATTCATAAGATACCAACTGTGAGACGAGATGAACGAGTAGTTCAATCAATGAATGATTACAGAAGGAAATGGCAGGGACACAATTTTTGACTTTGGTAGATTGTTTGACTAGTAAAGAAATAAAAATACTAAAAGTCCCCACTCCTAGGTGGTAAGCCAGGTGGGGTGGGGAGGAATCCCCCTAGAAGGTCACGTTTTCCGGGGTTTCACTTATAACAGGAAAACCATCCATTGCATCAACAAAGACGTTCTATACACAATTAAAGCTGATAAAATTTGCAATATGATTGATTCTATACTTTTTTTTGCAACCTCACTTAGTTAGCAAGATATCTATCTTCAACTATAGCGAATTTTGAAGAAAAATAAATTTTAGTCTCCACCACTTCTTTTTATTATCCCCTTTTCGGGCATTCATTGACTGGACGTGAGGAGACTAAAGCTGTGTAAAACACACGTTTCTCAGCAACCTTATAAACTCAAGTTTACATGATAAAATAATTATGAGTTCGGGTCATGGTGCCGGGGAGTTTTAATACATCCCCGCCTTCCACCAAGGAAAACCTTCGCATAGTCTCAATGTCGAAGGGGTGGATCCAAATAAAAAAACTGAGACGTTTCAGGTTTGTACATGCTCATATAATAGTCCGAGAGTCCGTGGTAAAAAAGGTGTCACATTTCATACTAAGCTTTGTCCTTATAAATTGATCATCTCAACAGGCCTGATGAGAAAAAGTTATTCTGTTAGAAAAAGTTATAGTATAGAAGTTTAATCATTAAATTATAATTGCTTTAGCCTTTGAATGGTTGAAGATAAGATCGTAAAATAATATATATTCTTAAAGAAAATTTAATATTAAACAACTTTCTTTCTCATGACGTTTTCGTAAAATGAAAAGATAATGACTTGGCGAGTCAACTAATGATAAAAATGCAATACAAAAATTATTTGTTTTCGAAATTAGTGAATTACAAGGGCGAATATAACGGAAACTATAGAATATAGCGAATAAACTAATATAACCATTTCTACTGCAAATTTTGTCAGCTTTAATTTCCTATATCTCGCTATTATAGATATAACGCATAGTTTTACTGATATAAGCGAAAAGCCGATAAAAGTAAACTTTTTTAATCGTAAATTCAATTTTTCGACTTGAAATCTACGAGTATGGGGTAACTGACTTTTATTTCCGGTCTTAAGACTCGGTATTCTAGCGGCTCGGTAGCTTCTCCAGTACGAATAGGTGCTTGCCATGCCAGCCAATAAATTGTTACGACCGTTGTCACATGCTTTAAATAAAAATATAATTTAAATAATATAAAGGTATCTATCGTTCGCCAATATTAAACATACAGTTAAAAATCATAAGGCAACCCAACCGTTCTTGAACTATTTGTAAAATCGAATTTTTAAACAATACTACTAATCGACAATTGGATATCACTAAACTAAATTTCTAGTTGCTGCAGAGTTCAAAAATGAATATAAAAAAAAAAACTCCCATAAACGACCACCATTGGCATCATCATAGCCTGCATTGGACGAATCACTTCCTGAGACTTTTGCCGTCTCGACCGAGGTCATGATTTTTCAATTGTATTTTTAGTATTAATAATTAATGTGTGAAATTAATAATGATTTGTAGTTTCAATTTATTTATCCCTTGATCAATTAATGGGAGAACGTAAAAAACTAGTTATTAAAATAAGATTTTTACTAAGTTAGAATAGCGATGTGGTTTTATATTTTATAACAATATTGAAGGACTTATAATAATCAAGGCTGCAGCTTACATTAAAATTTCTTCGAATTACAGTATCGTATATAACGGTTCCAACGATGTATCGGGTTTAACGACGAAAACGCCATATTTGATGGTTCAGATGGCTTTTATAATATGATTTTGAATGGATATAGCAATTGCATTTACTGACTCGATTTCTTAGAGTTTTTTGAAAAAATGATAGTATATAGTGACATTTGAACTCCTAAATAAAAACTTTCGTGTTTATATCTCACTTATCGAGGAAAGATTATATTTCATTCGTTCTCTATGTAAGAATCACATTTATAGGGCCAATTTCATTCCCACTCTTAAGTGTTAAATTCATATTTCTATTTAGTAGTTTAATAAGAATAACGAAGAGCAAAAAGTTCTAGATATAAGAAAAATTCTATACATGTTGCCGACTGGAGAGAAGAGTCTAATAATATCTTGGCTCAAGAATTCAACACAAATCTTACAATTTGAAAAAATTACGAATCTAATCGAGGACATACTGAATCAGTTATATCCAAAAAAACAACGACTTCCTATCTACTCACGACAAAATCGGTTCTTCTCAATATTCCGCTATTAGACAAGGAGCTACGGACAATTTTATTTAAAGGAAGGACTTATAGCTAGTAACCATTTTGAATTCTAGATAAACCTCATCTGAACACACAACTTGTTCAGTCAGTTGAAAACTTGCTTTCTATACGAAAGTTTAAATTAACGAGGCAAAATTTGACGGTCCATTTAACGGAAAAAACTGAGAGCTGAATATGTTCCTAAAAGAATACACCTTGACTGACGACGTCAAAGTCATCACATTAGGACAATCCAATAGTAGTTGGTTAAAAAAAAAATCAAAGAGTCGGTTTCTCTTCGGTTTTTTATGTTTTTTGGGGATACTGATCTGAATTTGACGACATTCCCGAACAAAATCTTCCATTGCGTATCAAGATATACGCAAAAACATAAAAAATTTTGACTGTTTGCATTTTTCACAAGAAAAATCTATTTTTGTCGGTTTTTCCCCAAAACTCATAATCTATGCATCTATCGAAGAAATTCAATATAATCAATTTGAAAGAGCATTAAAATTCATATATACCTCACACAGACACATTAATATGTAAGAAGATTAAATGGCTGTTAAAGCTAAGAGAATCCAAGCCGTATTTTATGTTTTAGCATCTGCCGCTCTCAAAGCGTTTTATCTTTTCAATGCTTTATTTTCGGTTAATTTAACTATTTTATAACAGAACTAGGATGTATAAACATATTGCTTAGATTTTATAAATTCTGTTGATATGCATAACAATCATCACAAAATTAAGGACCAAAATGCGTTTTAAAGTCCGAGCTGTCCGACATTTTCCTTATTTACAAACGATATAAATATGAAGGTGGTCCGGTCGCCTATAACAATTATACATTATAACAATGAAATTTACCAGATCTCTTAAGGTCGTTAAAGAATATTTTCAAATTAAAAAAATTCCCTGACTTTTCCCGGTTTTGAAAATTCCCTGACTTTTCCAGGTTGGTCGCCACCCTGGTTTACATTTATTTAATCAAATAATGTCTTTAATAACTATCAATAACCCTTCTTTGCTATAATATTAAGTGTGAGTGCACTTAATTTATACCCAAAAATCAAAATATTAACTCTAAGTTGAATTAATCTATTATAATTATTATTTTTTTAATTTTGAATAGTTATTCAAACCCAGTTCTTAAAATAATAATAACTTAAACTACTTAAAACAACAGAGTAATAACAATAATTGAATTACCAATTGTTTCGGGTATTTTGCTCTTAAAAGAGATTTTTGAAAGGGATTCAAAATAAACTTTTATCATGAACAGTTATAAATTTACAATGATAAAAGAATAAATAACAAAAGTAAATCATAATTAATAATCAGTCATTAAAACAAAGCATCAAAAATAATTTTTATATTCAATTAGTTTTACTAAGTTTAACCTAAAACGGTTATTTATATATTATTATTTTAAGAACTGTATTTGAATAACAATTCAAAAGTAAAAAAAAACAAAAAAACTATATAAGATTAATTCAAGAATTAACATTTTAATTTTTTTGCTAACAGCCATTTATTAAATTTTTATGAAATATTAAGGTATAAGTTTAGAGCACCCAAATTACATAATATTGTTATTATGGTAAAGAAGGGTGTATTGACAGTTATTAAAAACAATAGTTGATCAAAAATATTTAAAAATAAAGTAGAGAAAAATTAAACATTTATGAACAAAAACCTAATTCTTAAGATCTTGTGGAACATCAAGATGTAATATAGAACAATAAAATTTCGAAGTGTATCTTTTTGACATAAAAATGCAATTTTTTAATGTTATTAGAAATTTTTCCATAAAAAAAAGTTTTTTGTTCCATCCTATTGCAAACGGCCAAGCAAAGCAAAAAAACATTAATACAAATGTTAACTAGCTCACAGAAAGTAGAGAATTAATTAGTTGAGGAAGTGAAAACTGATAAATGAATTATGTATATCATTTTTTTAAAACACAACTTCAAATCATGGTAAGAAACATACCAAAATTTGTATTTCGGGAAAAAATAAATAAATAAACCTGATAAGGAATGTATTGAAAATACATTAAAAAATAAAACTACACTCATTTTAAACTGTCACATAATCATCATGACGGCTTAGAATTGCAACTGGAGGCCTTAAGTGAAAACCCATTCAGGTAATAGAAAAGTTTACTGGCTTACACAAAACACAAAACAGGAGAGACATTAAACTCCTTAACTTAAGAGTGAAAGTATTCCAAACCACCTTCGAAAATAGAGAGTTGGAAAGGAAAACCACACTCGGAGATAAAGCGTAATAGTTCTTTACATAAAACCATTCAAATAATTGGTAAGCATCCCCAAAGTAATAGCCGTGAAGCTTGCTGAAGACACAATGGATCAAATGAAAAATCAATACAAAGATCCCAGGCATAACAAAGAAAAATTGACCTACACTCTGAAAGCCAAAGTCTGCACCCTAGAACACATTAAATCGGCCTATCCTAAGAATAAGTAGACAAGGGTATACACAGATGGATCTGCTAAAAATCCCATTACAAATGGTACAATGGACATTCATATTGAATTCTCAGCCCATATTGAATCATAAAAGATTCATATAGAGCAAGCGGGGAATTATTTTTCTCTAAACATGACATGACAATAATAATTAAACATTTGTTCAAAAATTGTATAGGTATTTATTATTATTTTAAAAAACAATAACTGTAAATAAATTAGTTTTACGGAAACATTCAGTAGAGCAGAAAACAATAAGTAAGAAACTGAATTAAACTGTTAAAAGTGTTAATATTGTTAAGCCACAACTCATACCACTCAAGCTACACCAAGAAAAAGGAAAGATCATTTTCGCAAGATGTCAATAGACCAATATGCCATTTTATGACCAGTTATTCTCTCAGAGAAGAAAATAAACTGATTAATTGTGTTTACATCACTAACTTTGTAATAATATGCACTTAACTAACTATTTATTAATTAAAATGTAGCATTCATATAATTATTAAATTAATAAATAAATATTACATTTGTTTCTGAATCCCTTATTAGGAAATCTCCATCATTTCCACTTTGGTTGAGGATAGCATCGCATTGGGCCCGTGTGATGGAACCATAGTACCATTCCTTGCCAACAAGGTGAGGCCTTTCAGCGGAGATGTTGCTCGAACCATCTCTTAATGGTTGTGTCAAATACTCACTCAATTCCTGAAAACATTAAAAATAAATTTAAGAGATGGGTAAGTAGTCAACTGATCAATTATAAGGATGAAACAAAATTGTCAGGAACTATAGTCAAAATTTCTTTAATGGGTTAGGCGACATTTCGACCCAAGTACGAGGGTGGTCTGAAAAGTTTCCGACTTGACAAAAATACAAGAAATTTTTTTTCTCAACATAAGTCTCCTTGTAACTCTACACACTTCTCCCAGTAATGCTTCCATCTCAGTAACCCGTCCAAAAAATACTCGGCGTTTTTCTCTGCAAAATTATTAATCATGAAGACGATTGTCTCTTCATTTGACGAAAATCTTGTCAAAGTGAGTAAAGCAGATGGTCAAGCAGTTCAAACCGTAATTCGTGGATTTTCGCCATGGCAGCGGCTGAGATGTGAGATGGGGCGTTGTATAGGTGAAACAGGATTTTCTTTCTCTGCAAATGTGGCCGTTTTTCCTCGTATGAGGGTAGTCATCAAGACTATCGTTCTGAGTTCTTGCCTCGACTTTCAAACAGTAACCCTGATGATGACCCACATGTTTGGGTTGAAATGTCAGTTTTACCTATTAAAGAAATTTTGACTGAAATTCCTAACAATTTTTTTCATTCTTAAAAAAATTAAAATTTTATTATAAAATATTAAAAGGTGTCAAAAGTATGGAAGAACATATAAGCATACTAAAACAAATACAATGATGGAATCCTTCAATTCCAAGTTTATACATATAAATTATATGTTAATATAGACACACTTGAAAACTATCAACACTACATGTATCAACAATATTGTTTAATATTTTCATCCCTACTGCTTTTAAAGATTAAAAATATTGATGCAAAATATATCAAAATATTGATATATGTTTACAATATTTAAATCATAAATAAGGTTTGGATTTGAAATATATTAAACATAAATAAGGTTTGGGTTTGAAATATATTAAACAGAGTCCAAATTCTGAATTATGTATGTTCAAATAGACTTGGTTTGATCATGATTCGTGTACATGTGCTTTATGGATTAAATTAAGAAATAGTCTATAGTTTTTTTAGATTTTAATTCGACCAAGAAATAATTATAATACAATTTCTGTCAATGAATTCTTATGTAAAAATGTCTGAAAAAAAAGGTGGCAAAAAGTTTATCACTCTCTGGAGGTGTATAGGCCTAATATGGGGGAGTTTTTCATAATGGTCACCATGCATTCTTAAGTCCCGAAGTATAACAATTATATTAAATATGTTAACTAGTACAATTCAAAGAATTAAATTACTCAAATTTGGTATTCTTAACTATTAATTAATAAAGCAAAAAGAACGTCAAACTCACCATACAGAGAAAAATGCAATTAATAAATAGGAGATACAAAAAAGAAATATGAACAACAAAGCAAATGTACAAGATACTCAAGAGTATGAATAATAGACACATGCAGCATAAATAATCTGAATTTAAAATCATAATGTTGATAACAAAGCTGAGTGATACTGCAGGAAGTAACTATGATAACTTGAGATAGGTCCCGTACAGGGTAACTTTGCATTAAATTGAATCTGATTTTATTAATATGAATTTAGTCAAATGAAATGTAAAATTTCATTAACTATTATTTGGTTGGGAAGTTAGTTGAGGAATCATTGATAAACACAAATAAAAAAAAAGTTTATTTTGTGTTTGTTGACTTTATTTTATTTTTATTTGTGTTTCTCGATGACTGTGACCCCAACTTATTTAACTTCCTACCTAACCATATTATCTACAAATCAACTATTTTTTGTTTTTTATTAACTATTTAATGCTTTCCAAATCATTTATTCATAACAAACTTCCTATTTGTAATATAATTTCAGAAATAAAAATTTAAAAAAGTCTAACTTATCGATTGAGTTTATTGATTTCCTGTCTGGAATAAAATTTTAACTGTTATCTATATGAATAAAGCTTACGGACAGCATTTTCACAATTTAATTTATATTAAATATCAATAATGGCTTCAAAGATTTAATAATTGTTCTATTTTTTTTTTTTTTTTGGGATGATTTGGAATTTCATCTAGATAATAAAACGTTTCACATGAAATGTCAGTTTTCACAGTCAAGGTAACTTAACAAACAACTAAATGAAATTTTAAAAAAACGAGAGCTTATTCTTTTTGGTTCCGTCACTGAGGTTCTACTTTCCTTATATTTTTTATTGCAAAAAATACAAAAAGGGATCAATTGTTTTGTTTCATTAATGCTCAAATGAGAAAATTTATTTATTTGAAATTTCAAGTTTTTAAAACTATTATAAAATGGTTTACTGTTTTCAAATAGTTATAGATGAAATATGTATGGCCTAAACCCACTTATTATGACCTTTCTTACCACATACTTGAAAATTTTTCGCTAAGATTGGATTGTTTTAAAAATATTTAATAAATATATATAAATATATATATTTATATATATATATTTATATATATAAATATATATAAATATATATATATATTATTAAGCTATGAAGTCAATTAGAATGATTCTCAAATGAGCATTAGGAATCCAACGATAGATTAATAATTTTTTGATACCAAAAAACATAATAAAGGAGATCAAATTTCCAAGGGAATGAGTGGACAAAATTTATAGTGCCATCTATATCTCTGCAACAAATAATCAGATTTAAATGATTTATGACATAAAACTCATAAATAAACACATAATTGAAAAATACATTATTTTCGAATAGTTTATAAATAAAATTTGGTATTCATCAATATTTCTATTCCAGTAATTTTTTGAAAAGTAAATTATATACACAAATATGTAGAGTTTATATGAGGAGAAGACATCAGAGAAGTTTAATCAAAATTATTACAGTCCTTTTGTGCAACAGTCCAAAAACCACAGATATGTTATAATATAAATATAATTAGCATCTAAAAATTTCATGATCATATTCAGGGGGTTCCAAATTGATAGAAATTGTAATTTAATGAATGAAACTTCATAATAAAAGAATTATTATGCAAATCTGATTTTGTTACAGGTGGTGGAAATGATGATCGAGGGCTTTAAGACCACAAGTGATGTGAAGAATAAAATAAATATATATATATATATATTCATAGAACACATGCAACTAGAACAATTATTCAAGTTACACCACGATTGAGCCTTTTTTGAGAACTACCCATATAACAAATTTTATTTATAAATTGACTGATTATAAATAAATAACAATGCAATTGCTTCCCTATCAGTCCTTTTTTTTTCTTAACAAATAATAAGTTCGCAATTATTTTCAATTTGTTGGAATTTAGTGGGATGTACCAAATAAATCAATGAACGAATATATCTTTGAAATCATCCTCTATTCAATTATTCAATATCCAGCTAGAGCAAGCAGATAAACTAAAAGTCATAACTCGAATTTTACTCGATGTTGAGGAAACACATCATGGCAAAATGCAGAAAAGTAAATCCACTGATATGAGGAAAAGATGAACAAAAATGAAAAGATAGTTAACTCACTTGAACATAGTTCCTTGGAATGAGGCCTGTTTGGCCATGACTGTTGCGGGCTCTGTACCATTCAGGATCAGACTGCGGCCTGTCGATGACCTCTAGCCTGTCTCCTTTGTCAAAAGAGAGCTCTTGTTCAGATGTGGAAGAGAAGGAATATAGGGCAACAACGATGTCCAACACATTCTCTGCCATTGCGTACGTATGAAGTGCATCATCATGGTCAATCTCTTCCTGGGTATAGTTCGAAGGGAACCATCCCTGTGCAGATCCACTCTGTCCCCTCCACCATCTATAACCATATTATTTATTATTACAATTTATTACTGTTGTTAATGAACATAAAAATATGTACCTAGTCCTGTCATAAATATTGTTACAAGGAAATATATACAGATTTCAACGGAAAAATTAATGTTTTCAAAAACTTTACTAGAAAATAAAATATATATCTATAGAGTAAAACAAAGAAGAAATTATTCAAAATGTCCCCCTTTTGCCTTGACACAGGCATTTAATCTCCGTAGCTAGTCATCAATAGCAGCATGCAGCACTTCGTAAGCAAAGCACTTAACTGCTCGGATCAGAGATTGTTTGGGGCTTTCCAAGTTAGGGAGTGCTCTGTGGCATGCCATCCTCTCCAGTTCGGGGCAAAGACGATAATCTAGTGGGTTGAGATCAAGGCTTTCTGAGGGTCAATCCAAGGCAGAGATGAACTCTGGAATGTTCTTTTGCAGCCATTGAAGAGTTTACCTGGCCTTCTGTGCTGGAGTGGAATTCTGCTGGAAAACCCAATGACTTCCAGCAAACAGAGTATCATTTAAAGGCTTGACAACAGATTCCAAGATATCGTCCTGATAATTTTTAGTGGCTGTTTCAACTCCTTTTTCACAAAAATGGAGCTTTGTGGTGCCATCAAAGCAAACTCCCCACTAAACCATCATTGAGGAAGGGTGATGACCTCTTTCTACTCTTCCAATGACTTTCTTGGCTTCATTAGAGCTGTGTGCGTACACACGATCATTTTGGCGATTAAATTTTTCCTCACTGGTAAAAATTTTCTCATCGTTAAACAAAATATTTCGATAAAGACCATTGAATTGATGTAAGGAGCACTTTGCATCTATCCACTCTAATTTCTTTTAGGAAGTAGTTAGCCTTTGTCCTGTCATTCTTAGAAATGCACCCATGTTAAGGTCACTTTTTATTATGCGATACATTGATCTGACAGAGATTTACATTTTCCGTTTCATGATTTATTGTTTTCGAATGGGATTTCTTCTGATTTGAGCAGCCACTGCTCTCACTGCATTTGCTGTTCTCACAGTGAGGGGACGGCCAGGTCGAGGTCTGTCACATACAAATAGGGTCTCATTATATCTATTTAAAGTGCGGTACAGTAACATACAGCTGATACAAAAAGGTTTTAAAGTGTTGAAAATCTCTGACCTACATTTTCCAACTTAGTGTTAGGCGATCACAGCTATTAGCTATTTGGTTTTCTTTATCACCCTACTCCATGTTAACTAAGCGAAAAGAAAAGTACACATTAATTGGCATTATTATCCTGAAAATAAGCAATAAGAAAACAACCTGACAAAGGTAAGGATTATCTAAAGAATACCCAAGGTTGTAAACAAAGTTCATCTTTTGTAAAACTATTTATGGCAGAACTAGGTATATTTCTATTTCTATTTATAATATAAAGCAAGTTTTATATTGTCTCCTATATTTTTTTTTTTTTTTTTTTGCAAAACCAAAACTATCTACCATACTATATATAAGTTGGTGTAGTCACACTCACACCAATAACTTTTACTTATAATTCACTTTTTGAAGGAAGTGCAGTTGCCTATTGGGTAGATTGCTGGGTTCTCAAGTTGATCCGGTTAAAATCTAGAGTGAGAAACTTTCTTGATATACCAACTGATTAATATAAATTTATTTTCTAACGGAACAAGTATTAAACAGGATGATAATCCAAGCCATTTTCATAATATGTCACAATAAAATGATGCAAAAATATTTTTAAAAAAATAATATAAATATATATGAAATATAAAACTATTACTTACCCATCATTACTTTTTTCAAGTATCAATATCCGAGTTCCTTTGACTAGAGAAAGTTCATCAGGCTGTTGGGCCTGGTAATTATACTTGACTACAGCCATTCCGATGGCATCTGACGGGTCCGCAGGAAGTCTGCGAGACATTGTTGGTGAATCGACAGCACCTCTTCCAGTATTACTGGTTGGTAAGGTCTTGGACCCACTAGAGCTGCTGCTTTTCTTAACTTTCCTTTTTATACTGCAAGAAAAATGATGAAACTATTAGCAACATATAACAGATCACAAATCACCATAAAATTAGATAAAGCATGTGAAGAGAGGAAGCTTTTCAAAATGTAATCTTTGTTAAGCAAACTAAATTCAAATAAAAATATCACAACTAACAAAAACAAAAAAAAAAATGATTTATCCAAGAATAATTTTTCACAAATACTTTCTGTAAGGAAAGGATTAAAGAATGGAAAATTTATGGAAAGAAAAATTTAAAAGTAGACCCTTATAAGTAAACCCTTCATTATTAGGTTCAGGCAATGAAGAAAAACATACGGTGTGGTGCGCACATCACAAACCTTACACTTACAACTTTTTTTTTCAACAGAAATAGATAGTTCTATACAAAGGGAAGTGAAAGTAAAACTCAAATACAGCACAAAATATTATTTAAAACTAGGGATGGACAAAAAGTAATCTGAGTAGAAAGTACAAATTACAAAGTAATTTACTTAACTACTCGACTTGACTGATAAGTAAAAAAACTACCCAACTGTTCTTGTGAGTACTTTTCATTTTCACATTTACTCAGAATTATTATACTTTGAGTACTTCACTTTTCAAAGTACTTAACGATCAAAATAAGGATAGTCCACTGTTTCATAGATATAAACTTTTAACATATATAAAACACCTTTCAGAATCCCTCACAAAAATATTTTTGGAATACAATATTGATGAAATCAAAATAGCATACCGAATCTCAAACAAGATTGACAACAATTTGACATTTCTTAAAGATAAAATAATTGCTAACCAAAATCATTATATAAACAGGCAAATACAAAACAGTTCAGTACCTTTTTCTCCTCTTTTTATCAACAGATTTTCTTTTTTTATTATTTTGTTTTTGTTTAGTAACTATTGGAGAGCTTTAGCGTTATCAATAAAAACAATTTGGAAAAAGTGTATATTGGTCATAGTCTGGCCTGAGACGCCCTGGTGTGTACATCGGTGTAATTCGTTCATATAATAGACTCAGTTTACTTTAATTTAATTTTCAGTTCAATTAAGTTCAGTTTTTTTTTCTTCTCTTTTTTAAAAAATACACTATTATTAATCACGCTATTAAGTGTCGGATCTTCACAATAATCGGAGTAAAGAAAACGCAGCGAGATTGATAGAGTTCTGGGAGCAACGAGCTGGCAGGCGTCTACTAATCCTAACAGCATTAGACTCGCATTAGACGTTGTTTACGTCAACAGTCCTGGTATTTATTTATATTTTAATTGCGAAGTAATTCTCATTAATAAATTTAAAAAATGGTGCAGTGTAATATTTGCAACAACTCTATCGCACGCGAAGATAAGAACAATATACACTGCGTTAAGTGTAAAATAATTTTTCATGGTAGGTGCGTCAACCTTAATGATAAAGACACCGAAGCATTAAAAATAATTAAAAAAACATGGGTTTGCTCTAACTGCGAACAGGTGAAAAAACAAAATACCGAGCCGTCCCCCTCAGAAATACTTGCGGCAGTAAATCGTTTAGACGCTACCGTGAACGAAGATATAAAAAACATGAAAACAGCACTAGATAAATACGGAGAGCTCAGTTTTGAACTAAACGAAAGACTGACGAAGATTGAAAAACATCTGGAAGGTCAAGCTAAAAAGTTTGAGGAGATACTATTAGAAAACAAAGCACTCAAATCCCGAGTGGGCGAATTAGAGGTTCGCTTGAATAACGCAGAGCAAGGACTATTGAGTAGATCACTGGAGATCCGCGGTATACCGGAGCGACCGGGCGAAACGCCCGCTGCTTTGGTGACCAGTATAGGAGCAAGCTTGGGGATCAGGCTTAGTGTGGAGGACCTGGACAACGTACATCGCCGCAGAAGCCGAAAAGATGACTCGCGACCACCGCCTGTTATCGCACGCTTTGTCAGGCAATCAATTAGAGATGATCTAATTACGAAAAGGAAAGTGAAGAGGGATTTCTCCACGCGGGATATCGGTTGGCAGGAAAATGACTGCCACCGAATTTATCTGGGTGAAGAGATGACTCGCACAAACAGACACCTCTATTGGCTAGCCCGGCAGAAGAGAGCGGCGGGAAAAATCAAATATACGTGGTTTGCTTCCGGAAAGGTGCGGTGTCGAAAAGAGGACGGACATAGAGTCATCCTGATAGAACAGGCCTCGGATCTAGATGTATTTGACTGACTACCTAGAAGCCGTCAACCCCTTAGCCTCATTAAAATAGTCTTACTTCTTCTCTTAGTGCTATCTCTACACCGTTACTCATCAATCTATTTATTTTCAAGTACATTCTCTTTATTTATTTTTAATGTTAATATTACTTTTTCTTCACTTAGTTTCATGTACGATAATCGCTTTTCTGTACTTTCTACTCGTTTTGTCTTCTCGCTACCAAACACTGACTGTTTCTCTCCAAATCCACTGTATGTCTAGTTCCCTAATCACATGTCAAGTTAACTCTCAATCACTTTCTGCCCATTATGACGAATTCCTGCAATACTTTACCCAAAACTTTTATCATATCATAGCAATATCCGAAACCTGGCTCAAACCTTATATTCCATCATCTTCAGTCTCCTTGCCTGATTACATCCTGCTCCGTCATGACCGGGTAAACCGGACTGGCGGTGGAGTAGCCATGTTTGTCCACAATAGCCTAAAGACCCGAATCCTCGATTGCTCCCCATCTTCCGATCATCCTCATGTAGAATACCTCTTAGTAGAAATTCTCAGTAATATTTCTCCTATCCTTTACGCCGTGGTATATCGCCCTCCTCTCGTGCCATTTGACCCGTCCTTCGAATCAACTCTATTCAACTTCGTTCCCCTCTATCCCAGAATAATTATCTCCGGGGACCTCAATACCAATTTCCTCTCAAACTCCAATGACAAATCCTATTTAGAAAATCTGTTTTTCTCACTTCACCTATTCATCGTTCCTTTTTCCTCCACCCACCACACCACCAGATCTGACACTTGGCTAGACTACTAAATCATCGACTCAGCACAAAACCTCCTCTCCGCCTCTCAACTGCCAGTATCCTTTCTTTCATCTCATGATCTGATACAAATAACGTATAATATCCGCACTCCTCCAATCCATCCTCGAACTATCACTTTCCGCCAACTGGATACCCTTACTCGAGAAAAAATATTACCTGATCTAGTAACATTGGATTTGAATGGAATATATCATTGCTCCTCTGTCGACACCATGGTTGATATTCTCACCACCAATCTTCTCAATATACTCAATACCCACGCTCCTCTGAAAACCTCCACTTTTCGTCATCGTCCTGCTCCTTGGATGTGTCAGGAAATTAAGGATCTGCAGAAGAGACGCGACGCTGCACGCAGACGCTTCAGACGGACTAGGCTTGCAGATGATTATCAAATATTCAGAGTGCTTCGTAACACGACACAGACAAGGATCCGACAAGCGAAAGCGAACTACTTTCACGAAGCCCTTTCCTCAGCTCCTGATATCAAATCAAAATGGCTTCTACTTCGTAAGCTTTCCCTCTGTGAACCTTCTAGATCCCCTTCCTCAGTTTTCCCAATATCACCTGATGACCTAAACTCTCACTTTATATCGGTTTCCACCTCTTCTTTACCATCCCCTTCCGGCTTTTCTCCAGAGGTACCTTTTAACGACAATAATTTTTATTTTTCCGACATTTCTCCCACAGACCTTATTACCGTTATACTGAAATCCCGTTCCAATTCCGTAGGCCCAGATGGCATTCCTATCAAACTAATAAAATTATGTCTCCCTGAAATCCTCCCAGCACTCCTTTTCATCTACAATTTCTCCCTGCAGAATTCAATATTCCCGACCTCTTGGAAAAAAGCCATTGTCCTTCCTTTAAACAAAAAGCCTAATCCATCCTCTCCCGAAGATTTCCGCCCAATATCAATCCTTTCCAATCTTTCTAAACCCCTAGAAAAGTTAGTGCAATCCCAAGTTTCCAACTACCTTGAACAATCCAACCAACTCGATCCTCTCCAATCTGGCTTCCGTCCTGGCTACTCTACACAATCTGCTCTGATTAAAATTACTAGTGATATCCAGACTGCAATAGATGACAAAAAACTAACCATACTTATACTGCTTGATTTCTCCAAAGCTTTCGATTCCATTATCCATTCCATCCTTTTCAACAAACTAAAATCATTATCCTTCTCCAATAGTTCCATCTCTTGGTTCCAGTCTTTCCTCTCACAACGAACCCAAGCAGTTTCCATACCTAATCAACCTCTATCTGCCTACCTTCCTTTATCCTCAGGAGTTGCACAGGGTTCAAGCATGTCTCCTCTTCTTTTCAGTTCTTATATTAATGACCTAAATGATTCAATTATCCATTGTTCCCACCACCTTTATGCCGACGATTCTCAAATCTATTTATCCTTTTCTCCCGCTGAGTTATTGGTGGCATTTGCCAAAATTCAAGAAGATTTAGATCGAATTAGTGCCTGGGCCAACTTAAATGGATTAAGGCTAAATGCTGCCAAAACTCAGGCCATTCTCATTGGTTCCAAGCCCCTTCTTAGATCCCACACCAACTTTCCCTCACTCTATCTACACAACCACCCCATCACCTTCTATCCCTTTGTTAAAAATTTAGGCTTTCTCATAGATCAAACCCTTTCCTGGAATCACCATATCTCTCATATATCCCGCCGTGCAATTTCTACCCTCAAACTATTCCATCACTTCCGCCATCTTCTACCCCAAAATACCCGTAGACTCATAGTTTCCTCTCTCATCTTTCCCCACTTTGACTACAGCTGTGTGGTGTACGATGGCCTCTCGGTGGAACTGCGTGATAGACTCAAAAGACTTATGAATTGCTTTGTAAGATTTGTAATTGGAACCCCGAGACGCTCCCGTGTCTCCCACCACTACACTGAGTTAGGGTGGCTCTTCCCCTCCTTAAGAAGACAATATTTCCTTGGCACTTTCCTTTATCAAATCATTACCGAT